GTATTTCCATGACATGCGTATATTGTGCTCCGCATCGGAAGCGAACACACCGAGCCAAATAAATGCGGCCAATGGGGACCCCGGGGTATTGTGGCAGTCGGCACTCCGCGTAGCGTTGCGAAGCCACAGCGGAAACGCAGTGGGGGTCAGCCCACAGCCAAATCGATCGCCCGCAACTTGAACGAGCATCGAGGCGGTGCTCATCCTCCGTTGACAAGTCCTCAGCCAGTGGTAGAAATTCCACATTACCCAGACGGGGTGAAAGTATATCCATAACATCACCATGAACATGCATAAAGCATTATCATAGGAAAATACCATCACAGCACAGATACAGCACTGGGTATTGGACATATAAATTACAAATATGTCATAGAAGCCTTTGCATCGACACCAGCAGCTAAGATTATTGAGATTTCGACTTGGGATGAATTTATTTACGTGACATTTACCACGGATTTCAGCATTTCCCCATTAAGGATCTGTGGCATCAAACTCCTGCAGTCAAACCTAGCGTAGCGACACAAATGGGAGCTAAGGGAATGCTGCTCTGCAGTTGTTAAATGCACGTCGCCCTGCCCATCTTTGTGTTTTGTAAACCATAGAATGTAATCCATAATGTTTTTTGGGTTAGATCGCGCAAACATGTAAATGTGTCGTTAAACCCGCCACCACCCGACACAGCCGACTAGTAAGGTTTGTCAAGTAAACAAAACGTGGCAGTACTAGTTCAGCACACCGGTGTGTTGGAGAGTAAATCAACAACATTTACAATTCGAGTACTGTGATGCTTTGCCAGTAACTACAACCAGCTTCATCAGGTGACAGCCAGAATTGTGGATAAATCCTCCCTGTTTCGGTGTTAGAGGGGATAAATGTGATGTCATTACCTGTGAGCCAATAAGGTGCGCAGGCCAGATGTGGGGAGGGGGGGTTAATACAATTTAACCGACCGCAATGCAAGTTGAATACGAGCACGGGTTGAAATCACTCCACTGCCACCGCCGCCACCGCCACCCCATCACCTCAACACGTGTCAGACGCTGACAATGCCTGCGGTGGACTCTGCAGCTATGTGACCCGACGAGGTGAATGCTGACGAATGTGATGTCGTCTCTGTGTACACAGCTCCCATACCCGAACAACAGTCACGCTAAGACATACGTCTCTTCCCCGTATCTGTCCCTCCACGTAAAAAAGTACGGTATTTTTTTTATACATCTCATCAGCAAATGCAGCCTTCTGGGAGTGCACAATTTTGGCAGCATTGGTTCCACACGTGCAAACTTTGGACCGATTTCGACATTGCTGGTGAACCGCCAGACGATTGTAACGAGGGACCATCTCTGTTTATACGTGGCTAGGGCGCCCACAACCCAACGATCAATAAACCCCAACCCACGAGTTTGGATGCTCACGTCGCCGGCGACAGTCTCGGGTCATCGTTAATTGGCGACGAACCCTCCCCTACGAAAACGCTTCAGCGCCGAGCAGAGAAACGGGAGGAGCGGCCGCGGCTGTACCCCGCTGCACACGTGTGTGTCCGCGTGACAAGCGGTCCGCATGACAAGCGGGCAGCGCTCCGCTCTAAACCGTCAAAACACATCCATCACCCTTCTGGACACCAGGTGGGCCACGAACGGGAACGCAATCGCGACGTTGACAAACACAACTTACAAAAGCAAATACCTGCCAAATCTGACACTTGTGACAACCCATTTGTGCCATTTGCATGCCAAAGCCCATAAAAAGAATGTCACCCGCCCCTTTTGAGAGTCCCCATCGTTTGATCTCTTTCCAAATGTCTCCGAGGGCTTGTTTCTCATTTGTAACGTTGTGTTTCCGGCGACCTACAACGTGTGTTTGCGGCACTGTCAGCCACGCACAGGCGGCCTGCACTGCATTCACTGTTGAGACGGGACTACAAAGACACTCTTAATCATACCCAGCAGGAATGTATCCCTCAGACGGATGTAATTAAAACAGGTGATGCAAGAGAAAAATTAAGGCAAGCAGATCTACAATAAATTTTGAAAAAAATGTAAACTATTTCCATATCAAATTCAAAAGCATTTTTTTCAATCGGCAATTATAACCAGCAGGGTGGCACAGCGGCAACACTCGCGCCTCGCAGCAGCAAGGCCCTGGGTTCTGTCCCTAACGCGGGTGCCTATCCACGTGGAGTTTGTATGTTCTCCACCTGTTCTGCGTAGCTTTCCTCCTCTCGCTAAATACACACACGTCGTACCTGCTGTTGGCCAAACACCCCGACACGAAATAACGTATCTGCAACATGACTCAATTGGGAGTACACGTAGCAATCATTGCCCCCTGCTGAGAAAAGAAAAACCACTTGGCAGGACCCTCACGAAATGGCATCTTGAGACTCGGCGAGACTTTAGTGGGTGAACACAAACATGATTAGAAGAAGACCCAAGAAGTGCTCTCGGAGTAAACGCAAGGTCGAGTATCCCAGCTGCAGGGCAAGTGAACCGGTGCTACGGGACTGGAAGGGGAGCGGTCCACACGTGCCAGCCTCTCCAGAGCGAGTGCGAGGCCAGCGGCTTCCTTCTCTTCCTTCACTCATCATTTGCGCCTTTCCATTACATTCTCGATCACACGCTCGCTCTCTCGTGTGCACAAACACGCGCCGCCCAACAGCTTAAGGACATTTACTTGTCCGCGATTCCTTTCTCCCGGGAATGCCATTTTTGCCCTCTTCTTATCTCGGACAAGGCAGCCGACTTGGAAACATGCTGCGGGATTCACGCGACCTGCGCGGGTAGCCCGCGAGCGCTCGCTTCCCAAGAGCGGTGATAAGAGCCGGTGCGTCGCACACGGCGGTACAGAATACAGGGCACGTCTCACAGCACCAAACACGTGAATACCGGGCACCGGTCATGAACAGTTCCTAGTTCGATAATGTATCGCGATGTTCCCCGCAGAGGGAAACGGGCAGTGAGCCTGGCCTGCAGGAGGAATAGGCCTCGCACTGTCGCTTCCACAGTCACATTTCCACCATAGCGGCACAGAGGCCTGAGTAACAGCCATAACCATAGCGACAGAGGCCCAAGTAACCATAACAACAGAGGCCCGAGTAACAGCCATAACCATAGCGACAGAGGCCCAAGTAACCATAGCGACAGAGGCCCGAGTAACAGCCATAACCATAGCGACAGAGGCCCAAGTAACCATAGTGACAAAAGGTCCAAGTAACCATAGCGACAGAGGCCCGAGTAACAGCCATAACCATAGTGACAGAGGCCCAAGTAACCATAGCGACAGAGGCCCGAGTAACAGCCGTAACCATGGCGGCACAAACGCCTGAGTAACAGCCATAACCATAGCGACACCGAGGCCCAAGTAACCATAGCGACAGAGGCCCGAGTAACAGCCGTAACCATGGCGGCACAGACGCCTAAGTAACGGCCGTAACCATAGCGACACCGAGGACCAAGTAACCATAGCGACACAGAGGCCCGAGTGCTTTGCAGACCTGGGTAGCAAGACTGCACGACGGCACCCAGAGCGGCCAAGCGACACAATGGGTGCTCCCTTCACCAAGCTGGCACTGGGCAGCGTGCTCGAGAGTGAACCACGACTCGGTGGAGTAACTTCAAACAAGTGGAGGAATTTTACGTCGATTCCTAGAGCAAAAACAAAGGCCCATAGCCCGCGAATCAGGCCGACACTCACGAAGAAGTGGAAAGAAGTTGCGGTTGTCAACTGTGCCTCTCATGGAAAAAAAAACCATCGCAAGGCTGCACAATTTGTGTCCCATAAAGTGGGGTCCATTTTAGCAAACGACGCTCGATTTCAAGTTGCTCTGGCAGGTCCGTAAAACACAAATGTTAAACGTTCACGCCTCGCTAAAAAAAAGCGTCGTCTTCCGCAGAATTCGAGTGACTTCACACGTAAGTTTTCGTGACCAATATTATTCATCGAGTCAATATAAATGTGTCGTTAGTGCTGCATGGAAGTGTATTATCAAGTAATATGGAATAATAGCGCAAGAATTACACTGAGAATAACAAAACAGGTGTTAAGATGTTAAAACACCAAACTGAAACCTTTTACAAAGAATCATGTCTGCATTAACAACAATACTTGTGGTCAGAATGCAAACAAAAGACACTGATAATATATGGGCATTGTCTTTGAAACTAATTGGTCCACACCAGAGACATCTTTCTTTTGAGCCTCGTCTCAAACGGTGTTAGACCAGAGGACGCCAAAAGGCGTACAGCCCAAAGACAATTCACTCAGAGTAATGAGAGCTCGGGGTGAGCATCTACATCATCGGACCTCCTTTGCCAGTACCAAAATATGAGAATAGGTTTTCCCCTTTTTTCTGGCAACAAAACCGGTGTTAAGATATTCTCGGTTCTTTCGGTAAAGTCACGTAGAAGAGAAATAATAAAATAATCAAAACAAAACATAATAAGATACAATTCTCACGACGAAATACGTTACCAAAAGAACCAAGAATATGAATCCATGCAGTCACGAAAGCTTTAAATCTAAATGTAGGTGTTAAGATGTTAAAACACCAAACTGAAACCCTTTACAAGGAAATACACTGTTAAATTGCATGCCTATTCATGTCATCATAAATTATGTGACTAATCCAACCAGTAATATGTAGTGCATATGTTCAGATTAAAATAATCCATTATAATCTATATGAATACAAGACCCCACTGGGATCTTCGCACTTGTAGGTGCACGGTGATGCCAATTCTGGCAAATCGCCTGATGAAGTTGGTTGTAATCACCAGCAAAACGTCCAAGGACTAAATTAGTAAATGTTGTGGGTTTACTCTGCAATACACCGGTGTGCTGACATAGTAACTAATTGGCAGCTTTTGTTTACGTGACAAACCTTACTAATTGGATGTGTTGGGTGTAGGTGGGTTCACGACACATTTATATTGACGCGATCTAACCCAATAAAACCCTTTAATAATCACAAATCCTTTGCAGTTAAACGGAAGCATGACCTTCGACGCTGTACATCTCTTCTTGGCAGCGTTGCTTCCGTGCGCTTGCAGCGGCTGACGAGCTGAGCAGAGACAGAGTTTTGTTTTAAACTCATCGCAGCCGCATGACGGCTCAACGGAATTATAGCGCGCGCATGCCAAGGAAACGTCGCAGGAATAAAGCTACCGGCTCTACGAGCGTAACCGCCACCACCACCATCTGCTGCTGCTAGCGTGTTATTGATTTTAAAGCGGTCGCCACTTTGTAAAGTTACGAGAAACGCATTGGAATGCGGCGACCGTGTGCGCTGGCGAGATCACGGCAATTGGGTGAAAAATGCGGCCTCTGTGCAATTGCAGGCTCAGCGTGAAGTGCCGAGAGAGAAGGCCCGGGCAGTAATGGAGGACGTGCGGCGCTATGATAGAGCTCCCCGTGTCTCCCTGCACCGTTAATCATATCCTGCACGACCTAATGTAACAAAACAAGGAGAGAATCATTCCTCTTGCTGTAAACGACTTCCACGGGATGACACTTTCGGCGCAAGGGATGTTTAAGTGCGAAGGGTAACAAAAAAGAATCATGGGTGTCGCCGTGGAGAATCTCATCATCACCGGCCACGTTCACTCCACTGCTGAATGAAGGACTCCCCCCCCCAAGCCGCCACCACTTCTCACGATCCTACGATTCAACAATCCATCCGGCGCCTACACAGGAACTGATCTCAACCGCTCCACCTCCTTGGTGGACGCGCTTGTTGGACGCTCACCCCTCGGAGTGAATCCCTTGTGTGGCTCGTGGCGCGGTACGGCGAGAGTGGCCGACAGTGGGGATGCAACCAATCAGGACTGGAGACATTCTGGGCTTCGAGTGCCACGGTGGCGAGATGTTAACTACCTCGGCTGGTATACAGGTCGTGGGTTCGATCGGTGGCGAGATGTTAACTACCTCGGCTGGTATGCAGGTCATGGGTTCAATCGGTGGCGAGATGTTAACTATCTCGGCTGGTATGCAGGTCGTGGGTTCGATCGGTGGCGAGATGTTAACTACCTTGGCTGGTATGCAGGTCATGGGTTCAATCGGTGGCGAGATGTTAACTACCTCGGCTGGTATGCAGGTCGTGGGTTCAATCGGTGGCGAGATGTTAACTACCTCGGCTGGTATGCAGGTCATGGGTTCGATTGGTGGCGAGATGTTAACTACCTCGGCTGGTATGCAGGTCATGGGTTCGATCGGTGGCGAGATGTTAACTATCTCGGCTGGTATGCAGGTCATGGGTTCGATTGGTGGCGAGATGTTAACTACCTCGGCTGGTATGCAGGTCGTGGGTTCGATCGGTGGCGAGATGTTAACTACCTCGGCTGGTATGCAGGTCATGGGTTCGATTGGTGGCGAGATGTTAACTACCTCGGCTGGTATGCAGGTCATGGGTTCGATCGGTGGCGAGATGTTAACTACCTCGGCTGGTATGCAGGTCGTGGGTTCGATCGGTGGCGAGATGTTAACTACCTCGGCTGGTATGCAGGTCGTGGGCTCGATCCCAACCCCGACGACTGTATATTTGGAATTTGCATGTTCTCCCCGTGGTCACTTCGCTGAGCTGTCATTTGTGATGGCCAGGTCGCGTCTGAAAATGAGCTCATATAGCTCAGTGGGCCTTACCTGGTGAAATAAAAACGGTAATAAAATGTTTCCAGTGGTTCATTCCCACTCTCTCCCTCCAGTTACGACACTCGAACAACCACCACCAACGGCACCCAGGACACCAGCCCCGTCCCCATGCGCTCACGCATCAACACTCACATTTCAGGCAAAGCACAAATCCAACCGATACACATCCAGCAAATTCACGGCCACCTCACTGGGCGCACGGCGCTACTGGGCGGCTACTGCTGCTGCGCAGATGGACACGCTGTCCCCAAGCGCAGTTTCAGGGGCTGCGCTTCCCTCGCTCGGGCAGCCGCTCCCTGGCGGCACCCCCTTAGCCCGCGAGTTGGCGTCGTGGGGTTCTGGGAAGCGTCAGGCCCCGTGACCCCCTCCCGCCCGTCCCCGCGAGTCCCCGCTGCGCAGGGCGCTGGGCAAGCCGGGGCCCCACGGCCGGTTGAGTCTTGTACCTCGTTCGTACAACCCGCAGCGGGCGTCACTTCCGGCAATGACTCCACTTAGGCCCCACACTCACCTTGCCAGCTCGTTTAATCCGCTTCACCGCCTGTGATGAAAAATACGAAGAGGGTTTTTACCCTTTCTGGCAATAAATTGTCTTTGTACTGTTCACCTTTAGGCGTTGTTTAGGTCCAATAGCGGTGAGACGAGGCCATGAAGAGATTTGTCTCTGGTGTAGGCAAATCAGTTTCAAAGACAATGCCATATACTATTAGAGTATGATTGTTTGCATGTTCACCACAAGTACGTGTGGTTATGCAGACTTCATTCCTTGCAAAACGTATCTCTATTTGGTGTTTGAATATCTTAACAACTGTTTTATTGCCATAAAGGGCAATACCTATTCATATTTTTCATAATTTTGGATAATGGCAAAATGGTCCTATAGAGATTCTCCACCCTTCTTGAACTTTCTGTCTCTCCGCCAATCCCCTTTGTGTCCGACGGAGTGATCCTCCAACCGATCCCTCATTTCATTTGACTTTTTCCAGGGATTTTCCAAATTGATCTCTCCATAAATCAGATTCGAGTGTTTCAGCACCATCTAATCAGATTGTGCGCCCACCAGCACATGAGCTCCCCACGTAGCAGATCGCCAATGGGAAGAGCGCCTTATATAAAACCACAAAGTTGTTAAGATTCGGTAAGCCGTTAATTGCTTCTTTATTTACTTAATAGGGTTTGCCTCTCGGCGTTGACATTCAACATGCTTAACATTTGCCCAAGAAACGCAGGACGCCGCCTCGCACCGCAAAGGCCGTCACTGGCGGCGCACTCCTCCCGTCTAAACCCAAGGCTCTGCTGCGATGCTCACCGTTGTATTCAACTGTGGCCCGGCTGGAATTGTTGCGTTTGAATTGAATTCCGCTCGTTTAATTTGAAATACCCGGCTATTGTGACCCATAAAAAGCCTTGTGGCGCTCGATGGCGTGACCTGCCGTAATTGCGTTATGTTTTATGCATGATACGCAGGAACAGGCTTTCGATTCACTGGTCAAATTGTATATCCCTCAGGGTGGTCAGAACAAACACGGCCGCGCAGAACGGCGCCGCCCATCCGCGCCGGGCAGGCACGTTAGTTGCAAGCGCCGAGTAGAAATGTTTGCACGGAGACATCCCGTGGCCCTCCGGCCTGGCCCGGCACCCAACACACGACGGGCTCGAGGGGGCCGCGCCGTCGCGTCCCGTCACGGGAGGCCGTCATCTGCCGTGACTTACGTTTGAGTTTTAGGGGCGCGTCACGTGCGACCTCGCGACATCTTACCCGCGAAAGCCTCCGCCGCCCCAAACGCAGCCGAACAAATAAAGCTGTCAAGTGTGCCAAGCGTTTGATGCGTCAATCATGATCATTTTGTTAAAACGCTTGTGCGCGCAACTACCTCGATTTTGTGCTGTTGCAGTGTCGGGCGCCGGAGGGTTTTACGACACAAATTTGGTCTGAGCAATACGTGACCCAACCAAAATATTGATTACATTGACTGGGAAAAAAGCTGTGTTACGTTATTGACCATCTTTATCCCACTGACTGGCAACACCTGAAAGACAACGCGCAGGCTCTGTTGAACATGAGCATTCTGAAGCGTTCACAAAGAGAAATGTGGGAGCGGCTTTGAATTCCGAGACCCAGTTCGCCGCCGATTTCCACGCGTGTTAGAGAGCACGCTGAAATCTAACGGGAGTAGCCAATGACTGAATGTTGAAACTGGTGCAGTTGTTATGTTGAACCGATGCTGAAATAATGCACTGCCAGAAGGGTGCGTGGCTGATGGGATGTGTTAAAAAAAATTCATAAAATATATTTTTTACGTGGATTGTGGGAAGGAGGCATATTAACTGCTAATTATTTTGGTGAATTATATTGTATTTTCCATGATGACACTAGTGATTATTTTATGTATTATAGATCTTTGTGTCAAACTGGGACACATATCTAACGTACAGCACCCTTGCCTCATAAACATTTGGCATTTTTCAGCATCATTGGTTTCGGAAGCCCGGCTGCTAACGAGACGCTGAATGTCAAAACGGATCGAGAATTTGCTAAAATCATGCACTCCCATAGTAGGAAGGCCGTGTGGCTGATGGGATGTGGAAAAAACCACGCATTTACATATTATGGTGCAGTGCGCTTATTTATTTTGTTACCTATCAGCCACAGAGTGGAAAAAAGCGTTTCTCATTTGGACTCCCGTTAACAAAGCAAGCAGCCCGAAGCCGCGTGTCGGTTTGAGCGCCGTGATATTACGGGCGACCTGCTGAATGGGCCGGGTGAGACCCGCTGGCCTGGGGCTTGCCACAACGCACGAGTGACACGGCTATACACACAACAACAGCGATACACAGACAACACAGCGAACACAGACAAAACAGCGAGACACAGCAACACAGCGAGACACACACAACACGGCGAGACACAGACAACACAGGAGGAACACAGACAACACAGCGGACACAGACAACACAGATAGACACGACAACACAGCGAGACACAGACAACCAGCGAGACACACATGCAACACGCGAGACACAGACAACACAGAGAACACAGAGAACACAGCGAGACACAGACAACACAGCGAGACCAGACAACAACAGCGAGACACAAAAATCAACACAGCGAGACACAGACAAACACGCGAGACCATACAACACAGCGAGACACTACAACACAGCGAGACACAGAAACACAGCGAGACCACACAACACAGCGAGACACAGACACCAGCGATACACGCAACCAGCGAGACACAGAAAACACAGCGATACACAGACACACAAGCGAGACACCAACACTAGCGGACACAGACAACCAGCGTACAACACAGCGAGACACAGACAACACAGCGAGACACAGACAACACAGCGAGACACACAACACAGCGAGACACAGACAACACAGCGAGACACAGACAACACAGCGA